AAGGGCATGTCGATGGTCTGTGCATGACCTATGGTGAGAGACTGCAGTGACCCCTTTATGGATGGATTAGGTTCACATTGGATAATTACACTCCCAAAAATTATTCTTTATTGACTTTTCTTTTGAGGATCGGAAGTGTCAAGAGGCAAGTTGATGGTATCGCTCTCAGTATTGGTTTGCTTCAACCATCGGATTCGATCCTTGGTGTTCGCTCGGGCTTTCAAAAGAGCGGTCTCATCAGTCAGCCGGTAAAAACCATGCTTCAGAGTGGCTCGGAGGAAATGTGCCTCCATTGCTTTGGTAAGAGAATCGGCCAGTTGTGCACCGGTGTGCACCCATCGGAGTTTTGTGCCCTCTTCAAGTGATTCTTTAATGGCTCGTGCCACCAGTTGAATACGATATTCTGAACAAGAAGGTGGAGCTGTACGTGATATTAAATCATACAATGATTTGCAATCCGTTACTGTTAAATCAGGGTGCTCAGTTGGGGATGCTACCGAAATGGCTGATGGAATTTTTGTCAATGCCTCATCGGGTTTCCTCCATTGGGTTCGTGGATCATGTAGCCAGCTCCAAAAGATGCGTAACCATGATAGTTGATCTACTGTAGAAGCTAATGCCATGGTTTCGGCTGCAAGTGTACTTGTCACAACCCGTTGAATCTTTTTGGAACCCCACGTGATTGGACTTATGGGACACTGTACATTGGAGTCAATTGCTTTGTGAGTAGCTACAATGATATGACCGGCATGGGAATCAGGTTTATTGTGAGATGAGAAGGATGCGTCACTGAATGCCATAAATCTCAAGTCATCTGGGCTGATTGATTTGATCGTGATGGTCACATCATGATGATGTTTTGCTTCATGAAGAAGTTTGTTTCCCTCACTCAAGGTCTCTACTGTCGCTTTGTTGATGGATGATTGGAGAAGTGATAATCTGCTGGATAAATCAGGTCGAGTGTGGGTCGCAGCATACTGTAAACTTCCAATTAATCCCCGCAAAGCTAGCTTCTCTTCTTCATTGACAGGGAGCGTTGGTTGGGTTTTTCGATTGGTCTCAATTTTGATTGGTGGAATTTTGCACACATATTTTGATTGGCTAAGTGTGATACTGTAGTCCCCATGTTGATGTACATCAATTCCCGTAAACATAAAACTGCTGGTCTTGTGACTGCCAAATGGAAACTTCTTTTCTAGTTTCTGAACCTGTTCATTGAAATAGGAATCCCCACCGCCTATGCCATCATCTACGTGAATGCCAACCACTCCAGCAAGGTGACCAGGCTGATCGTTTGTGGACGGATGTCTCAGCACAAATAGGCATGGGTCCATGGGACTTGGTTCGAAGTTCAGCTTTGTCAATTCTTCGACCAGAGTGCAATACCAGAGGAAAGGTGCATCTACCAAGCCATATGCTCCTTTGTTCAACCTGGCAAGTTCTTGATGAGACATGTTCATGGCTTTTCGGAGTTCGGGGACAGGATCAACAATTATCAACCGATTGTCTTGGGGTTTTCCCTGGAGGAATGCAGCTTTTACATCAAAGGATTGGAGCAACCATTTATGGGAAGAAACCAATTGGAGTGCAACCATTTTTGAGGTTCGTCCCAGTGTGGGGCTATCCCTAGGAATGCTATCCAACGATGGGTCCATGAATCCTAGGATCACCACCCGGGCCTTGGCTTTTCGACCCTTTGCTTGCGATGGAGTATCGGGTGCAGGATCAGTTTCTTTCCATGTTAGGATCCATCGGCATTTCATGATTTGAGAATCGGGGATTTGATCACGGAGTACTTTTGAAATTGTTCCAGTCTTTATCCAATTCTGCACTTCGGTCTCCTTGGCGACTTCGAATTGAGCTCTCTCTGCAGGTGTGAGATCTGACAATCGCACCTCTGTGCGTTGTTTCTTGACGGAGGTAGCTAGCAGTGTCCATGATTCTACTTCATTGGGTACATGATCCTGTATGGGACATGGTACATGAATGTCAAACTCACAGCGCCATGCATGACCACTTGCTTCAGGCTCTTGCAAGGCCCCCGGAGCGTCTGTGCAAATCAGGTTCACTGCTGTGAGATCGGGATCATCCTCATCTATTGCTCCAGGGTCACTGGAATGGGACTCCTGTGATCCAATTCCGTGGCCTTCACTTTCAGGTTCAGGTTGTTGAAGAGATCCTTCTGTTGGATTGTCGGGTACTTGATTGACTTCGGTGGGTTGAGTGGCAACATCTGTTGATGGTTCTTGTTGACTCTCAAGGTTCTCATGTATGGTAGTAGGTTGTATTGGTTGTTCGGCTGTGTTTTCACGTGACATGTTTTGAATTTGTTGATGAATTTGAGTCATATCCTCTGGAAGTTCAGAGCCTTCAGGACTGCCTTCCTCTGGAACAGCTCTTCGGATGTGCTCAATGGCTCCCCGATACAACTTACCAGCATTGGTACACCATACTGTCTGATTCCCATCTTGAATGAAAACTCTTAGGGGACCAAACCATTTGTGTCTTGGGGGATCGACGTTTTGATCAAGTTTCCACAGCATTACCCAATCTCCACGGCAGAATGCCCCACGGTCTGGGCATGATCGATGCAAACCGGCTCTTCTGAGAACATCATTGTTGTCAGCTGAGTGGTAGGCCCTTCTGGCTGCCTCTCTGAGCATGAGCATATTCCGAAATTCATTTGGCTGAATTTCCGTCTCTTCAGAAAGAGCATTTAAATGAGACGGAACGGATTCATCACTCAAAACTGACCCTGGGAGCCTGGAGTGCTTACCAAACACGATAAGCTCGGGTGCATACCCTTTGCGAATTGACAGGGAGTTCTTGGCATGGGTACACTGGTTAAGGCTGGTCTGCAAATCACTATAGGACCTAATGGGAAACTCAAGGTCAACCTTTGTGAGCATTTCTTGCAGAAAACGGCCATGTCGTTCGATTCGTCCGTTCTTCCAATGGCTGTCAGGTTCGGAAGTACTGCATTTGATTCCAAAACGATTGGTGAACTGCTCAAATGTACTACTATTCATTTCGGTTCCTGCATCAACAAACAATGCACTTGGAGGACCTGCCCAACATATCCAATGTTTATTGATTAGGTCAATGAGATTTTCAGTTGACTTGGAAGGGGACACCACAGCTACATGATAGTTGGATCCGGCATCAAGGATATGATACATGTGATATGTTTTTCCCTGGCTATTGGTCCAGTCAATACCATCCAAGAAGATCCTATGATTGAAATCAAGGGTTTGTTTCAACCTGGCTGGTCGGGCAGTCTTGGGTGGTTCCTGTGACTTGCAAATCGGGCATGCCAGTTCCTGAGCGGCTTGGATCAAGCCAGGATGTGCACCCTGCATCTGCAGCGCCTTCACTAGGCGATCATTTGAAGGATGGCCTAAGTTCTTATGGACGGATCAACCATTTCTGTTCCCACTGTGGCAACATCTTGAATCGAATACCTTGTTGACCATGTTTGATTTCAGTCATGGGATTCTTTGAAGGTTCTGCATGGTCTTGGTGCTCAATCGATTGGTCAGCTGCTTCCGGCGGGAACGGCGACACGGTCGTGTCAGGTTGCATGGCAATATCTGAACCCTGGCTGTCGGACGGCTGTCCGGGAACATTAGTGGAACCTGTGCCATCTCCTGGTCTCGATGGGTGTTCCGTTGCAAACACTGTTATGTTCAAACGACAGGCATGAGCTGGTCGAATTAGTTGTCGTTTTGAAAGTTGATCCCATCGTTCCCAGTTCTTTTCAATGGCAACTCGGCCAGTGCTTCGAATGACCATTATGGATCGGCGGAATGGGGCCTCTTGGGACATCATGCCTTGAGGAGGGCCCAATGTTCGATCGGTTCCACGGCATGCAAGGACTCGCTGAATGAGCTTTTGTGGCACAAGGTTCTGCAACTCGGTCAAAAGTTCATGATCGGTGATTTCGATTTTTCCGACTCTCGGAACTCTTTGGGTGATTGTCTGGATTACCTGTTGGAACATCTCTAAACTGGGAAGCTCACTCTGCTTACCTGTCAGTTTGCGTCGCTTGGCATCGGGGGACGCTCGAGACTCAGGGTAGATCACTTCTGACGTTTCGAATTTGGATTTGGTAATCCTTCGAGCCGCACCCAGAACAAAACTTGGCTCAGCATCATGCAAGGCTAACATACCAGGCTGCCATTTCACTGGCCATTCTTTGGGATGCTTTACCATGACATGGGCTACAGCACGGGCAAATTTTCTTGGGTATATCTCAGAGTATTGGGTGCGCAAGACCTTTTTTCCGGTGACACATGTGGACCCTTCCAGGACTTGGTGCTCATGATCATGCTGACATTTCAGGCCATGAAATCTTTGATACATAGCGCGACTGGTGGTAAGGATTACCAAGCTCTTCTTGATGTGTTTATCATTTTGGGGATCCCTCATGTTGCCAGCTTGGCATAGGTCTAGCTCGCATGCTTGGGTGTATCGGTGGACCTCTGACATCTGCGACAGCTGGAACATGAGACTGCGACCAGGTTGTTCCCAATGAAAATGATCACCATTCGACATCTGGTGTCTAAACAACACTATGCCAAGAGCAACTTGATACATGAGATCGTGTCGTTTCTGATGATACAAATCTTCATGGAACAGAGACCTGGATGCATTCAAGTGTGTCCATGACGACCAGGGCCCGCACGTGGGAGAATACCAGAGATGCTTGGGTCGGTGTCTAAACACCATCTGAAACAAACTTCTCCTGCCTTGTGCTGTTTCCAAGTCACCTTGCTGATATCCAAATCGGAACGCACGTGCATTCATCTGATTGACCTGATGCGTCAGTGGAGAGTGTTCACTGCTGAAAATCTCGCCAAGTGTCCATCTTGGGCCAATGGAACGAGTGTCTCTGTTGGCATCATTCATTTCTAAAGTGAACTGTTCTATTAACTTGTGAAGGAACTGAGTTTCTTCATGGACACTTGTGGCAATTAAATCAGCTATCCCTTCTTCATCACTCAGTTGTTCTTGGGCTGGACATTCTCGAGGTGGTGAATCACTCGTTGCAGTGCATCCTCCATGTTGAGCATCCTGGCTTGGAGAGCATGAATGGTCTCCTGCTGCTCCGTCGGGGCATTCATAGTCCATGTCTCGGACATCTCGGTCTCGTAGACCCCATCGTCCTCCCCAGCCTGCGAAGAGATGTCGATGGGCTCTCCATGTGATACCACCGTGTATGTTGTGGCTGCTTTGGCGGCTGGGCGGCATTTGGCCTTTGAGACCACATGGCCTTGAGTCTTTGGCTTCATTGGGCGTTGGTTCATCTCGGCCTCCATCATCTCGATCTTCAACTCCACGAATCGGAGGAACTTCATGTGGGATTCCTTCGTGCTCTTTTGGTAGCGAGCGGTCATAAACTTCACCCACTCTTGGTCGCTCCATGCCTGGGTGTAGGTTTGACCCAGGTGAGCTTCTCCGAAAGAAACCACTTCGTTCTCCAGATCCGCCAAGGTCAGGTACTCGAGGTCGTTCTTCACCTCTTGCTCCTGCACTGCTTGCACTGCCTTCAGACGGGCGGTCAGGTCGGACATGAGGCTCGGCGCTCAGGATTTGACTGCACGAAGTCGTGGGCTCACTCGTATCTTGAGATCTGGGTGGATGGCTCTGATCACTCTGAAACTGCACCTGTTTTGGATTTGATTTCTGATGATGGTGAGGCATGGTCAGCTTCGTGCATGGCATGTTCATGGAGTCCTGAGTCATGGTCATGTTATGTTGGCTGTTACTTGGGCATGTATGTGATGGTGTGATGTGTGCAGGTGTCTTGACAACTTCTTCATCGGGGTTTTGAAATTCCTTCACATTTCTGACATGTTCCATGGTCCCCTGCAAAGCATGTGATTTCACTTCTTCGGAAACGAAGGTCTCGGTCACTGGCTTCTGTGCGCTGGTCTTGCATGACTGCCGGACTAAATCATTTAAATCAAGCAGAAACAAACCCTTGGACGTAAGTTGAAGGTCAACTGGTTCTGTTAGCATAGGGCTAATCAGCTTTCGTGCCTGGCAGTCAATCTTTGCTTCAAGCGCTCGCATGAGTGCATTGGACAAAAGAAAAGGTGTGCCTCCTTCGACAACGGCAATTTTCAGAAGTCTGTTGCCAATGGGAACTACCAGTGCCTGCTTAGACGTCAAGGTACCTTCATTTCCAAACCTGAACGTGATGTTGCAGGGACACCTCTGCAGCTTGGCCCGCACTTGGGGCTCAAGGTCATTGATCAAACTTGCAAGCTGGGCTGTGCCAATTACGGTCTTGGAAGCTCCTAAGTCCAGGATGCCATATGAGCTGTGCGTTGCAAAGTAAGACACTGCAGTGGAATCATGACTTCTCTTACCATGGAGACTTTCACTTTTGGCAGGTTGGTCTTTTCCTAAATTCTTGGACGGCTGGACAACGGAGTGTTGACTTCTCTCACGGCGACGCTTCAGGTGATCCCGGATCTCAGCGACGGGTGTGATGTTTTCACTCCTGAAACCCCACTTCTGGAGGCGTTGGCGAGCAGTCTGTTCCACATGCATGAGATTCCTAAGGCCCTAGATTTACTCAAAATCCCCCTAGCCTTATCATCCCCTTGGTGGATTACCCCTGCACCAACAAAAACGGCTGCTTCCCGGGTTAGCCCGGTCTCCTGGTCAAGAGCGGTCTGGCTACACTCAGGCAATTGCAGGAACTCTAAGGCCAGACCCTCATCGGATTGCATCGTGACACTTGTGGTAGCGGCTGCGGTTGTTGTCATGGATGCGGCACTACTCGTCTGATTCTCAGACCGGTGCGGACATTCGGCTTTCCAATGGCCTTTGCGGCCACAATTTCTGCACGTTGACGACATGATACGATCTTGGAGTGACCGTTTTGGTCTCACAAAACTGCCTTTCCCTTTTCCAAAAGACTGCCGAGACGAACGACCTTTGCCTTTCGACCATGTTGAGAAGGAAGATGACCCCATCGGCCTGCTGGGAGGCCAGAAACCACGGTGACGCTGTTTCTCTGCCAAGCGCTGTCGGGCTTCTTGGTAGGCTGAAAAGGCACTTGCAAGATCATTGTCCTCTTGCAGAACCTCTTGGGCTGTGGCCTCATAGTCTATGACAAGGGCTGCATCTGGATCTCCTTCTTGTAAGAGCTGCTCAATCAGCTCGTCTTCGCCGATCTCATCCGTTGCAAGGACTGGGTTTTCTGTTGACTCATCATCTTCAGCTACCAGTACTGTGTTGTTGTCATAGACCTTCAGTTTTGCAGATCGTTTTTGACCCGTCATGTCACCGAAGAACGAAGCACCTAACAGTCTAATGGCGTCTGAAACTCGAGACACCGTCAGCTTCCCAGTAGATGAACTATCAGCATCGAGAATGACCTTTTTCTTCTCCTCTGGGGACAATGTACTGCCACGCAACAGCACAAACGTTTGCAGATCTTCCCAACTCAGCTTTCTTGACATCAAACGGCTCCACAAAATGTCAGCACGTGCCAAAAAACTGTCATTGGTTTCGTCAGACCTCTGACTGCAGTGGAACAAGGCTTGTTCCGCTTCTTCGTACTGCTTCTGCAATGCGATTCGTCCCCATGAGCCTCCAAGAAGCTCAATCAACTTCTTCACGGCCTTCTCATCGCCTGAGGACAGCTCATGGTGGTTAAGCTGTAACTTTTGAAAAGCACTTCCTTGACAGTTGAGAATCAATCTCGTAATGAGCTCCTGGATGCGATTTTTCGGCCAGGCAGCTAGCACTAGTTCAACTCGTTGTTGATACATGGTCATGTCGTCCTTTGATGGATCAAACGTCGGCACCAAACTGGCTAATTGGTTGCTCACGCCACCTCCAGTTGTTGAGGCATCTCCTGACGATGCTTCAGACATGGCCCCGGATGCTGCACTGTGGCAGCTCCGCTACCAATGTAATTGGTAGTGCTCCAGCTGATCCAAGCAACCTCCAAGCAGCAGCGCCTCCGCGCCTTTTGTCACGACCACCACAAGTTGGATCCCGGTAGCGATCACCGCACAAGGTTGGGCAAAAGGGATGGTCCACTGCCGTCTTATGTAGAAAACTGGGTATGAGCGGCCACGCTCAATGCAGCTATTGGGTGAACCCCGTCACCTACGAAAGGTTATGGCTCCAAGGCAGTGATCCCTCCCGCCCTCAAACCTAGCTTCCCTGAAGCTGGTGCCTTGAACCAAGGGCATGTCGATGGTCTGTGCATGACCTATGGTGAGAGACTGCAGTGACCCCTTTATGGATGGATTAGGTTCACATTGGATAAGTACAATGTATATATATATGTATATGTATGTATGTATATGTATATATATATATATACACACCATATATACATTTGTATATATATATATGTATAATGTATAATATGTACATATTATATATATATACACATTATACAGAAAAATGGTTAATCACCCTGGTGGCCTGATGTTCATCCCCCATGTGGAGACAAACCTAACATTTTTTCTTGGCAACGTCCAAGTTTTGGTTGGTAAGATCACCATTGATCCATCGCTATGTTGGTATGATTAAAAATGATTGCACCCCCAAACTGGATCAGATTTAAGACTTTTTGGTGGGTGAGTTTATTTTTTTCCGTAGTAAAACCAAGTTTTGTATTTGTCAAGTCGAATTGTTGGTTCAAAAGTGGTCGAAAAATCATCTGAAATCCAACACCATCTATGAAACACTCCAAAAATATCTGACATCATCTAAAATCATCTAAAACCATCTACTGTATATATATATATACAATATAAACTCATCCAAAACCCCTCAAAATCCCATTGAAAAAGTGCCGTGAAAAATCTGAGCCAGGCCTTCAGCGAAGCGCTGACGAAGAGGAGTGGCCGAAACCTGGCCGTGGAACTGCTGACCTGTTTAACGATGAAAAAAACCAGTGCAAAATCCATCGATTTAGTGGAGGAAACCAGGAAACCTAGCTGGGAACATCATTTTGGGATCTGAATGATCTGCTGATAGTGAGAAAAATGGAACATCCACTACTTGGGCAGTTGATATCAAGTGAATATGATGAATATCTATGATTTTGGGGATGGTTCCTGAAGCAAATCCAAGTGATGAAAAAGGGGCGCCGTTTAGGGTCTACGGAGTCTTTGATGATTTCATATGATTTCATGATGTTTGATCATATTCAATATTTGACGATCCTTGCTGACATTTTGATATTATTGTTGATTGCTGATGCTGGATGGTATTTGATCATCTTTGATTACTTGGGAAGATGTGATGGTCTATCACGATGACTGATGATGGGTATGATGGTTGTTGTTCTCATTATCATGGTTAACGGTTAGTTACTATGATCACGAAACATCATGTCTATTCATGTCTAGTGTTATTTTGTTTTGTATGTATTCACGGGGAAATGTTGAATTGCGTGAGTGGGGTGTGTTCCGATTTGGAAATCCAACAAGTGGTGGAACAGTTTTCTTACATGTCCAAAATTGATTTCCTTGTTTTCCTCTACTCATGAATTTTGTTTCTCATTGTGTATCCTTAGCAAGCACATGTTGAAGGGGTCAAAAGCACGGCCCAAGAGTCAAAGCTGAACATCGCCGACCGACAGGAACTGAATTGACTGAGACTGATATGAATTCCCTGGTGAAACATCTTATCAAAAAAAGTTTTTTGTTTTTGGAATGTAATCCCAGGGCATCTCCAGAGGTAAAGGTTTCTGGAGTGACATGTTGATATGAACTGTGTGGGAAATTGTGTTAGAAAGGTTTTTAAGGTTTGGAGAAACAATACAAGAAAACTTGATTTTTTGAGAGACACGTTGACTAAGTTGACCGATATATTGAACCTTCAAAAAATCCAAAATGTCTCTCATACATCCTAACATGTCTCCCAGACATTTTAACATGTCCCTCAGACATTTTGCCTGAACAAATGCCAAGATGTCTCTCAATCATCTTAACATGTTTCCCAGACATCTTAACATGGCACGCACACATCTTGCCTGAAAAAAATGCCAAACTGTCTCTCAGATACTTTCACGTGTCTCTCGGACATCTTAACATACCTCTCAGACATCTTGCCGGAAAAAAAACAAGATGTCTCCCACAGATTTTAAAATGTCTCTCAGGCATCTTGCCCGTAAAAAAATGTCTCCCAGACATCTGAACATGTCTCTCAAACATTTTCCCTGAAAAATGCCAAGGTGTCTCCAAGACATCTTAGCATGCCTCCCAGACATTTTGCCTGAAAAACGACACATTGCCTGAAAAAATGCCAAGATGTCTCCCAGACATCTTAACGTGTCTCCCACATATCTCTCAGACAGCTTACTTAACATGTCCCCCAGACATCTGCACATGTCCCTCAGACATCTTGCCAAGAAAAATTGCCAAGGTGTCTCCTGGACATCTTAACATGTCTCCCAGACATCTTAACATGTCCCCCAGACATCTTAACATGTTTCCCAGACATCTTAACATGTCTCCCAGACATCTTACCAGTACCAGAAGAAATGTGGCAAGATGTCTCTCAGACATCTTAACATGTCTCCCAGACATCTTAA